AATTATCTTTAGAATTATCTATATTGTCAAAAGACTTCCACATTCCATTGGATTACCACTGTTTGGAATGGGCACAAATATGAATCTCTTTCAATCAGCTGGCCAGGTAGCTGTTTTCCAAATTTCTTGGCATAGATGAGTGATGCTTCCAATGCTGCATCAGTTTGTTGAAATATTTCAATATGTGTTTCATTAATTTCCAGAGCCTTTCTTTGCCAATGCATTCAGTGCACATTGGACTCCTTCCTTCAGTACAGTGCAAACTTGATCATATGCTACCTCTTGAAATGGTTGAACATAGATAATTTCTTTTTGATACAGATATTTTGTGTATTCCTTGCATCTTCTTTAGATGCTTTCTGCAAAATTCAACATTTTGCCCATAGAATCCCTCAATGCTACAAGTTGAGGTTTGAATTTGTTCTTCAGGTCCCTCACAGCTTGAGAAATGTAGAACGTGTTCTTCATTTTGATTTTCTAACTCCATATCTTTGCACATTTCATTATAATATTTGACCTTGTATTCTGGAGCTGCCCTTTGAAATTTTATTTTCAGCTCTTTTACCTCCTTATTTCTTCCATTGGCTTTAGCATCTCTATGATAGTAAGTTCCAGAGTCTCTTCTGACATCTATTTTGTTTTCTTTCCTTCTTTCTTGTCTTCTTAATCACCTTTTGCTTTCTTCCTGTATGTTGTTTTTGATGTCATCCTATACACTTCTGGTCTTCAGTCATTAATGCATCAAATCTGCTTTTCTGATGATCTCTAAATACAGGTGAGAACTGTTTAAGCTCATAGTTTGGCTTTCATGGAGTTGCTTTCACTTTTCTTCAGGTTCAGCCTGAACTTGAACATGAGCAATTGATGGTCTGTTCCTCAGTCTTCCCCTCGCCATGTTTTGGCTGATAATATGAAGGTTATCAATCATCTCTTTCTACAGATGTAGTCAATTAGATTTTTGTGTAATCTATCTGGTGAGGTTTAAGTGTATAGTCATCTTTTATGTTGTTTGAAAGGTATTTGCAATGAAGAAGTCATTGGTCTTACAAAATTCTATCATGGAATTTTTCAGCATCTTTTCTGTCACCAAAGCCATATTTTCCTACTACTGAGTCTTCCACTTTATTTTCATACAATCTCGATTGTATGCTTGATCAACTTCAGACTAAGAAAATGGATAGAATCTTTCAATTTCATCATCATTGGCTTTAGTACTTGATGAGTAAATTTGAGTCACAGTGTATTAACTGGTCTTCCATGTAGACCTATGAATATTCTCCTATTACGCATAGTATTATACTTCAAGATAAAACTTGAAATGGTCTTTTTGATAAGGAATATGATGGTATTCCTCTTCAATTTTTCACTCCTGGAATAGTAAATCATATGATTATCAGATTTTAAATGTCCAATACCAGTCCATTTCATTTCACTAATGCCTAGGATATGGGTGTTTATGTGTTCCATTTCATTTTTCACAACTTACAATTTTTGTATTTTCATATTTCATATGTTCCTTGTTTTGGTTATTAATGGATGCTTACAGCTGTTTGTCTTCATTTTGTGTTGCGCCCCATCAGCAAATAAAGGCCTTGAAAATTTTATGCTATTCACATCATCATGGTAAACTCAATTAGAGGAGGTAACTCTTCCCTAGTTATATTTTGAATTCCTTACAACCTGACAACCTTATCTTCTAGTGCTATATCTGGCAAGATTCTGGCACTTTTGATCATGTTTCTGTATCTAATGTTCTAGTCCTATCTCACAGTGTTCTACTACTATTCATAAGGTTTTCAGTGACTAAACATTCATAAGTAGTCTGTCTCTCCTTTTACCTAGTCTGTCTTAATCTGGAAGTTCATCTGAAACCTGTCCACCATGGTTGACCCTGCTGGTTATTTAAAATATCAGTGGCATAGCTTCCAGAATCATAGCAACACAAAAGTCACCACAAGATGACAAACTGACAGACAAGTGGTGTTTGTCTAGTACAAGAAAGTGTAAATTTATTGTGGGCTGGACACAAAAGTACAATTTTCAACTGTAAAGTCAATAATGGCTGATGTGACCTATATACAGTGCTGTCTATGATCAAAATGTCATTTTGCATCAAACTGACTTATTTAGGAAGTTAAGAAAACTGACAAATCTTCTTTAGGGAAAAAAAAATTAGTTCCTTATACATCATACAAATTCCATCCCAGAGGGTTTAAAAACTAAATATTAGAGTATTAAAACACAAAAATAACAGATCAAACTTAATTACAGAACAAAGAACACTAAGAATGCCAGAAAAGCAACAACTCAAAAAGAAAGAGGTGATGGATTCAGTATATACAAATCAAATACATCTATGTACATTTAAATAAAAACACAAAAAAATGAAAAGAAGAAAAATTATTTCCAGTCTAAAGGATTAATATAAAAATATATTGTGTGCTTATAAGTCAATGAAGTAACAAATGACCGAGCTAATAGCAAAGAGAATAAATGTAATTAGGATGAATTTCAAAAAGAATGTAAACAGTGAAAGCGTATAGAAATTATTCAGTCTCATAAGTAGCCAAATTTTCAAAATAAAGAATAAAAAAACTGTTTTGAAAAATTTTGTTTTTTCTATTAAATATATATTTCCCAGTTGTTAAATATTTTGACTAGGACATTGCTAGTAGAAAGGTAAGTGTCACAGAACAAAGCAGCAATACTTTCTGCAGCTATATGAACTTTATACTTTTAATTCTAAGAATTAATGGGTAGAATAATAATTATGAAGGCTTGCATACAAACTTATGGGCATATATAGTAATAACAACATACTACCAGTTGCCAAGGAGTCCATTTCCACTTGTGGTGACCACATGTGTGTCAGTAATTTTGTACTCCATAGCATTTTCAGTGGTTGATTTGGGAGAAGTAGATTACTAGGCCTTTCTTCAGAGGTTCTTCTAGGTGGACTCAGAAGTCTAAAACTTTGGTTACATGCTGTTGTTGTTAAGTGCCATAAAGTCACTTCTGACTCATAGTGACCCTGTATAGGGTTTCCAATGAGTGGCTTGTGAGTGTGAACCACTGACCTTGAGGTTCAAACTGACCTTGTGGCCCAGTGTGGCAGCCAAGTGCTCTAATTATATGCACTACTCAGGAACTCCAATAGTAATGTTGTTATGGTTGTTGTAGTTAAGTGCCGTAGAGTCAGTTCTGACTCATAGCATCCATGTATAGGGTTTCCCAGGCTGTCAATCTTTCAGAAAGCAGAAAGCCTCATCTTTCTCATGTGGAACCTCTGGTAATTTCCAACTGCTGAACATGAGATTAGCAGCCTGACCCATAACCACTAGCATAAATGCTAAATGATAGGGAATCTTTTAAATAATGTTAGTACTTACACAGAAAATATCTGGTAAGGTATATTCCTAAATACTTTCAGAGAATAACCTTAGTCATGAGATTGCTTTTTGTTTATTTTTTCCCCTAATTTTTCTATATATATTTCAAGTCTCAGTTTTTCTGTTGTTCATTAAATATTAACATGTATTTCAATTACTAATTTAGAATCCATGAGCCACTTACTCTCCCAGAAACACGATCTCAGTGGTGATTTTTCTTGATTTACGGCGGAGAAAATTGCTCAGAAAAGCATTCACACTGTCAACAGTGATGTTTCCGCAGACCACGATGAACCTAGGTGGACCATTTGAAGAACAAAGGTTATTTATCAAGATTTAGAGATAGGCAATTAGATTAACTTTCACTTCAAATAAATTTGGTATTTGAATCCTGTAGGTTTAAGAAATAGAAATATTAGGGACTAGAATTTCAATATACAATAGAAAACACTGGATTTTTATAGCCTTTAGTCAAGCTCAAAAAGGGCACGACTCCACATATTTGAATTAAACACAGCTTTTTAGGAATACAATATTTGTCATTTTTAGATTTTCCATAGTTAACTTATAATGAACTTGCATGCTCTTCACTTGATTCTTGATTCTTTGATATACAGGGTGTTCTCAGGTTGCAAACATTTGAGTTATGGACAAATCTTACTTGCCCTTTAATGCTATATAAATTTTCCCTTCCTTTGAAATGATTAAATCAACCCCTACTCAAATCAAATTTTTTCATCAAAATCACCTTCATTTGGTGCAAGAGCAACTTTTAAGACATTAAAAGGTCATTCTTTTACACTAAAACAAAGGAAATAGAGTCATATTGACCTATTTCAACTTATCTACAAATTAAAGTTTCACCACTTGTCTACCAGTTTGTCGTACTCTGGTGGCTTGTGAATAGCTGATTTCTTCCTTCAGTATCATTGGCAGCACAGGAAGCACTCACTCATCTCTGCCAAGAAATTTGGAAGACAACTA